CAGGCCTGTCTCAGATACATAGTCAGTTCTGGGCCATCCTGAACTATATCAGATCACATATCAGGATAAATCAAATGTAAAAAAAAGATTGCTTTGAGAAGGATGAGCTGAGCCTGCCAAATCCAGAGGGGATGCAGTAGAATTGGAGAGCTGCTTAGAATCTCTTATCTGAACTACGATATAGTGAGTGAACAGGGAATGAAGAGACAAAAAACCTGCTATGGATTTCCTTCCTCAATATGGAAGAGCCCAGATATCCATCAGAAACCTTTTGGCCCTTTTATTACTCTTACTGAGTTCCCAAAAGACCGTTCTCATTTTTTTCTTTCAGAGCTTCTGTTCCAGCAAGGATTATTTGGAGAGCCATGGTAAAGCAGAATATTGTAACACTGGTCATTATAAGTGCGAGGAAACATGCTGTGGTTATGGGCAGAGGAAATCTCAAAATAGAGTTGTTCTATTAATTTTTGTTTTCCATGCTTCAAGAACTGTGAAGTTAAGTGTTGTCAAATTTGACCTCTGAAGAGAAGTATCATGAGGTAGGAAGCTGGCCAAGAATTGTGGTTCCTCCCTCCCAGTGAAGTGGTTCAAACCCAGCTTCTCGCTGGGCTGTTAGCTATTCCTGAAAACCTACTCAGTTTGGGCAGGAAGAGCATCTTGCAGATGTGAAATGATAACTCCTCTGCTGAGGGCTGAGGGTGTGACCCGAGGTTGGAGGTGTGATTACCCCGATGTGCACAGCTTCAGCGTAGCTGTCTCACGGAAGTGAGTGGGCACATCATGTGGTTTCCCAGATAAAGCAGCTCATGCAGCAAGGAGCCAGGAACATCAGTATATACTGGAAATATATTAATGTTCATCTGTATGTTTTTTTGCACAAAAGTGAAATTAGAAGTAAAAATTAAAGAAAGTGGAAAACCTTTTCCAAATTTCTCACCTTTCTGCTTTATTAGCTGGCTGTGATGCAATTCCATACTTTCCATTTTTTTTCGCTGTACTTCACTCAAAGAACTGCAGTGTGGGTGTCAACCAATTAGTTATGAAGATAGTCTTTTAAGGCAATCATTTTCATTTAAAGACTTTTCTTTACCAGAATCTTAGCACTTTGTAATCAACAGAAGAATTTGCAGATGTGACTTTATTTGGCACCTGAAAGTCATTGGTATGATTCTGCTTCTTTCTAAAACTGAAAAATTGGTATGACTCTGTCTTCACTTTGTATTTAGTTTCTGTTCACTTTGTTGTCCTTGTTTGTCAAACACATTGTAGGCACCATATCTGTTGTACATTCTGCTGTCACAGAGAGGAAGGAAAGGATTTTGATCACGTATCACAGACTCGGAGAGAGAGGAGACAAGCAACACTCAAACATGTGCATGAACTCTGAACTTGCTCAGTGTTCTTCCTGAGAACAACAGCCTCCCATTGAGGATGGAAATCAGAAAAAATATCTCAGCAGAATTAACCTTTATATGAACAGTTTGATGTGAATCCCCAGACCTGATGTCATCCCTGATGTATTCTAGAACAGTAATTTCTCACTGCTGTGGACTTGCAAGGTCTTCAGTTTCACTAATGGTCTCTATTTTATTCTAAAAAACTAAACAAAATGAATAAAACAAAACATAACATACAAACAACAAAAAAGCAACAAAAAACCACTGGCACTCCCAGTATCTTAAGTTTTTTTTTTCTATTAACACAAAATAGAAACAACAACAACAAAGTGGAAGAAGGGTTTATTTTAGCTCATGGTTCAAGGTTATAGTCCTTCATGGCAGGGAAGTCACTGGAGCTGGAGGTTGAGGCAACTGTTCACGTTTCATCTGTTGCAAGAAATAGAGGGAGTGATGAGCATTTGTGCTCAGTTGCTGTCTTCATCTGTACGGTCTGGGATCTCAGCACAGGAAAATGGCATCAGCTACAATGCATGGACCTTCCCACCTCAATTTACCTTCAAATCCCTCAAAGTCATTTTTAGAACTAAATTTAACCTAGACAATCTCTGACAGGTGTGCCCAAGGCCTGTCTCTGCCTGTTTCTGTCATGTCACTAACACTAATCATCACTCCTAGTGGCATGGTGGGATAGAGAACCTAGCTCACTGTGTATGCTGGTTCATTTCAGTTGCTGTAACAGAAAAATAGGCTGAGTAATTTGTAACACAATGAGAGATTTTGGCTTTAGACTTCTTGAGGTTGGAAATCTCAAGCTGAGGTGTCATCATTTAGGCGGAGGCCTCTCATTTGCCAACCCATGACAAGCAGTGACGGGGGGGAGGGGAAGTGTAGATAGGCATGTGTAGAAGAATGAACGGGATGGATGGACTTGCCTCATGATACCTGCTGTCAGGGAAGAGAGGTGGTTTATAGACAAGGTCGGGAACTCAATATATAACAGACCAAGCTGTCATTGCATTTCTGAGTATTCTCTTGTCTCTGCTTCCTGGGATTGCAGCAGTGTGTTGCCATGTATATTTACATGTAAGTTTTTGTTTATATAAACCATATTGAAGTTATCATATACATCACCCCCTCCACACACACAATGTCAACTGATCTAGTAATGTATATAAGTAACAGAGAACTGAGGAGGATGAGGCAGAACAGTGAGTTTGAATCCAGCCTGGGATACATAGTGACATTCAGGCCACTATTAGTTATACAACATGACCCTGTCTGAAACATAGCCTAGAGGCCAAACCAAGCAACTAAGCGAAAAAACAAACAAAAAAACAACAAACAAACCCTTAAAGGGTGAACATGTAGCTCATGGTGTAGCACTTGGGGGCATGCATAAGACCCTGGGTTGATTGCCCAGTCACACTGAAATAACAGTAATGAATTCACCAGATGTAGAATGGTATCAACTTTCATTTTAAGTATTATGTGTAGATTAAAAAGTAGCTCAGAACACACCAAGAAAACCACAATGGATACGTGATCGTCTTTTGGCATTTCTAATATACATTTACTTTCAGTAAATACAACAAAAAAGTAATATTTCTTCTGAAATATTAATGTAAGGCAAAATTCCCCAAAATTATTAAATTTTGAACTAAAGAATTTAGTCATCCCATTTATTCTATATACCCTTTTATTTATATAGAGCTGTTTCAGCCATCTCTTCTAACCAATGGCTTTTTAGAGTTACATTACATTTTAGCTGAAGATATTGGCAGTAATTTCTCTAAATGTATTTTCCTTCATCCTTTCAGTCATCAAACACAGATTATAAACATAATTCTGCTACATGTGAAGTGGGGATCATTTCAAATGTAGGCATGCATAACTCATGCTTCCTATCTTTCGGTATCAGCTCTCAAAATACAATTTCCTCTTTTCACTTTGGTCAAGAGGAGGGGCAGAACTTTAAGAGCTGAAGTATCATGCAGATGGGACACTTCTGCTTTAAACTTGGAGCTTCTGAGGCGATACAGAGCTGGAGAGGACAACTTGTTCCTCATCTTCGATTCCATCCACTTGCATCACCCCCTGCAAGGGGAATAGGTAACAGCTCCTCTGATTTCTTCAGATATCTCTATCACAGGACCATGCTTATTCTAGAGAAATGCTTTTCAGATACAAATGGAATGCATGACAATGACATAGATAAGAAAGACAACTGATCATATTAGAACTCTATTAAATCTGCCTGTGAATATTGGCATTAAACTTCAAGAAATGTATTTTTCTCTTGCTGTGCTATTATTTTCATTTTATGTAATCAAAATTAAGGATGAATAAAATTAATTACTTTGTAATTAGTTCAAGTGGTTTACATAGCTTCTTATGTGCTTTTTAGAATTTTATAATAGGAAACCATTTTATTTTTAGAGAATAAGGGAACTTGTAAATGATTTTAGAAAATTTCATCAATTAAAATGTGTTAGAATTACTAAATATGAATAGAGTCCATCAACAACATTTTACTATTACCTATTCATTGGTGGCCCCTTCAAATACTGTTTAATGGAAGAAACAAAGCAAATTATAAGTAACTCTAATTTAATAATTTGTATACTGATTCCTATTCTAAGAATGAATAATTTATGAGTATTTATACTGCCTACTGATGAATTATCATTCTTTCTACTTTTTTTTTTTTAGACAGAATCCTTCTCTGCAGTTGTGGCTATTTTGCAATTTGATATCTAGATGTTCTGCCCTTAGGGGTCCTCCTGCCTCTGACTCTGAGTTCTGGGACAAAAATCATGTACCATTATAGAAAAATTTTATTCTTATATGGGGTCCTAGAGTAATATCATACACTGTCCTGATTTTTGTGGCATGTTCATGTCCATGGAATCCTTTGCAATTATGAATACAGTTGTTTTGGCTTTAACCAAGGAGACTTTTATTATCACATCTGGAATCTGAAATTTTAACTTCCTTTCATATAATCCTTTGGATATTGTTTCTGGCTTATACTTTTTAAATGTGGTCAAAAGACAACAAGATCATTTTATATCCACATGTGTATCACAACTTTTACAAAAGCCTTAAAAGCAAAGAGATTTGGTTTTAAGCAAGTTTTGAATTTCTGATATGTAATAGTTATAAATTATGTCAGTCACTAGGGTGTCACCAATTTTTTCACAAATTCTTATGGCCCGGTTATTACCTAATCCTTTATTTGGTAATTCAAAGTTTTTCTTTGCATGCACCTCCCAACAATTGTTGATGTGGCAGCTAGTTAAAAATGTTTTTCACGTCTGTGGAAACAAGTCACCTTCCTCACTCTTTACAGGGTTCAGACCCTTAAAGAGTTAACAAACTTCTACGCTACCTAAGCAAAAAATTCTAGAATATTTCTAAAGTTGGACATTTTAATTTTTTCTTTACCTAGACATCATCCCAAGACAAGGTTTTAATTTAAGCCTTCGTTACCTCCTTTCAAGATGAAGAATCAGGAGGTGACTTATTCAAACTCAAGAGTTTTTGAGTCTTCTTCAGAGTCACAGAATCCAGTCAGTCCTGAGGAGACTCAGGGTCCCAGAGATGTTAGACAAAAAGGTGAGTGCTCTCCTCCTACACACTGTTCACACCAGACACTGAAAACTATTCTAGCCTTTCTGCTGAGAGCCAGCTGGTCATAGAGGATTATGGAGGGAAGAATGAAGACTTGAAAGCTTTTTAAAAACTAATCTTTGAGACTGGAAAAATCAATAATTTATTTTGCTTTGTGTTAGTTTTTCATTATTGTTGTTTTTACTGTTGTTGTTGTTTGTTTGAACAAAAGTCTCAAGTAGTCAAGAACAGTCTTGACTATGCTATGTAGCAAAGGGTGGCCCAGAATTCTTAATTCACCTAGCTCAGTCTCTCAAGTTCTGAGGTTACAGTTGTGAGCCGCCTTGCCTGCCTTGAATACATTTTTATGAATTTGAGAAACCATCCAGTTTCAGTTATTTTTATCAAAATATGGTTTAAAATGTGATGCCATTAGCAAGGAGTAACTGTAGTCTAAAGAAACCCTGAATTTTCAGAATGAATAAAATCTTAAAGAAATGCAAAGTGTGTGTTAAAAACAAAGCTGTTACTAAAACAAGATATTCCATGAGTTTCATCAAACTCCAATGCCAACCATCAGCAACCACAGTCAGTTCAGAAGGGAAATCTAAATACTTTACTCTCTATTTCTTTTGCCCTTAAATTTTGTCATATATAAACTCTAACCTGAACATTTTAACTACATTAGTGTGGTGATAATGAGAGGAGGGGACCCTAGAACCCAAGACCTCAAATGCACAAGGTTAGATATCTTAATTCCAGAGAAAAACGAAATTAATGGACAAGAAAAGAGCTGACTTCTAGGAACTCTTTAAGGATGGGCCCTTACAGAGTTCAGAATAGTCATACTGGCTTCCGGTTTCTCAAGCCATTGGTTGATATTTCCTTCCTCTTTGTGCTTAGTTGTGATCTCTTGGTGGGTTCCTAATTACTGTCTGGGGTTCCCTACTGCATCTTGCTTATGCCTTCAGTAGTTTGTAAGATGAACTTTTGACACCGTGTGCACCTGCATGAGGCAGCTCAAGCTTGTCATTCCAGCTGCCTGTGAGGCTGAGTCAGAAAGACTGAGATCTCAAGGCTGAACTGGCAAAAATTATCTGAAGTCATAAAAAAATGCTTCTATACATAGGGTATAAACAGAATGGGTATATGTCATCCAGAAATGTAAAATTTTAAGCTTTTCTGTTTACAGTTTATTAGAATTTATTAATTACATAAAATAATTGGCTTCATTATGACTTTTGTATATGCATATGATTTATTGATCATCTTTACTCCATTATTATTATATTCTGTTCCCCCTTCCTTCTGTTACCCTTCCAGTCCATCCTAACCCTTCTTCTTTGATGTATTGTCTGTATTGTTTACTTTTTATTTAATTATTAGTTGCATGTTTGCATGTGCATATGTAATTTGTGATTCCATTTAGCATTGTTCTCCTGCGTATGTTTTAACTCTGACCACCTGGTGTAGGAATGATTTTGTATTCTGGAATTAGAGTTATCATCCATGTGTTCCATATGATGCCCCAGGTTATGGCTAGTGATGGACCATGGGGTGATCCTGGTGATGGTTTGCTTACCAATTTTGATGTCTTTAGGAGTGTTTAATCTCCTTACATCTCATTGCAGTGGCTCTCGGGATCCTTTGCTTACTGTTGATGATGGCAATCTCAGTGTGGCTGATATACAGTGAGTAATTCAAATACAACATTTGTCTAGGTAATTTCAATGGACACTAATTATGTCACAAAGATCATACTTTGTCCACTATGTCTGTCACCAGGTGACATTACAGGAGGCCTGGAATTTGTGAGTTTTTAACTTCCCCTTGACCTCTGAACCATTGGACATTACGGTGACTCTTGGGCTGCCTTGGGCTGCCTCATTCTGTCTAACTCATGATCATATTCCTTCTGATAACAGATGTGTTTGTTATATTCTGCTTTTGGAGCTCAGGTGGTTATGAATGTGACATATACATACTGTAAGAAATAGCTGTACAAAACACATTATGCCATTTTGTGAATTTTTGCCCCATGTCATATTCAGGACACAGGTAAGTGAAAAGACTGGATCTGTAAACAAAAGTTTGTAAGAAGTTCTGGAGCTTCATCTTTATCTTTTATTTAATGTCAACACTTCCTTGAGAAAAAACTACTGATGGGAAGGGCTACAACACAGCTGCATATTTGCATGGTATTATCTCTCTTCTGGTTATTCCATCTGATAACTCTGCTATTATTTCATGTTTCTTAGATTGAATATTCATGGTGTGTTAGGTCTCTCTGAATATTTTACTTAAGTATTTATTTGTTAGTTTTTGTTGGGGAAAATGAAGTAATCAGAACATATGTTTCTCCCACAAAAATATTATTTAGCTATTTCATCTACTTTACACTGAAGTTGCAAATAGTGAAAAATTCATGTTTCCATTCTTCTTTTTAAAATTTATTTATTAGTTCTAGTTAGAGAACAAGCTTGTTTCACATGTAAGTCCCTTCTCCCTCTCCCTCCCCTCACCCCCATCCATCCTCCCCCACCCCCACCCTCAG